ATTCTAGTTTCTTCTGCCGTTTTAACTCCTCATTATTGATCAGAGGCAAATTGCCCCCCATACTCCCAGCATTGCTTTGTATTTCAAAGTTCTCTGTGGGAATTTGGTCAACGCTACCCTGACCTCGACGACGCCCTTCCTCCACTTGCTCCTCAATCTTGCTGATCGCTATTTGGTGTGCCTCGACTATTCGCACCAGCTGTTTCAAAAATTCATCCTCGCTCATGGTTATTCCTTTATAATTGATCGTATGCTCATCAACAGCTTCTGCAGCTTCATTGATATTGCTTTTTTCCGTGGGTGGAATAGGAGTATGTCCATGAGAAACTGGATACACGTTCGTTGTTGGTGGTTCATCTGATGTTGTTTCCGCTGTAGTAGTATGCCCTTTCGTAGCAGTGAAACTACTTATTTTTCGATGCGATGGAGGGAAAGCCGAGCTATGCAGGATTTTCGTTGTTGTTTCTAAAACAATTAACGGTGGCGGAGTAGGGAAAGACGTGATAGTTTGAGGTCGAGAAATGTGGTTAGGAGATTTGAGAGTAGATGGTAAGGGTTTTACAGTCGTGGCTGGTTTAGTCCTTGGTCGAGGATTCTTTGGTCTTCTCGTCGAGAAGATAAATTCTTCTGTAAGCGGTCGCAATTCCGTATCAATTCGTTTTCGCATCTAAAATGCACAAAAGTAGCATTGGATATAAATGATCTTTTTCAATGGAAGAGACTCCAAGTTGCATACTCACTTCAGCAGATTTTCCAGATTTCCTACGAATTGGTGGGAGTGGGATCATTGATTGTAGCTGCTCTTTACATACCTTAAAATAATATAAATTACTGGAACGTATCAGTATGTACTTAAACTTAATACATTTAGTTACCGACTAGAATTCTAAAAGGAAATGCATTTGTGCTTTCTCATTCAGACACGCTAATGAATGAGTGCTCATCAGAAGTTAGAAAATCAACAGAAATTGATCTTTTTAATCAAACAATCGACATATATGACAACTATCATTTGACTCCATCAAAGCATGAATG